AGTTTAGCTTAAGATGGTCTCAAGGTTGTCTTCTTGCAGCTTCTTTCATGGCTCATTCTTCCTATGTTTGAAGTGCAGATTCTGTCGCAGTGCTTGCATGTATGTGTCGTAGATCGAAGCTCCGTCTTTCCGCTGTTTTCCTTTCGTCGTTGGCGCTTCTCAGTCTGGTTGTTTCTAAGGCTGCTCTCTAGCATGATAGTTCTTTCCTTTATCCTTTTCCTCCATGTTTTCCTGTCTTCAGCTATTTCTTCCCAGATGCTAACATCTACTCCAGACTTGGATAAGCTGTTTTTGCAGGTGTCTTTGTACCTCAATTTTGGTCTTCCTCTTGGTCTCTCTCCCTGGGCAAGTTCTCCATAGAGAAGTTGCTTCGGAATCCGGTTGTCGTCCATTCTCTTGACATGGCCCAGCCATCTCAATCTTTTTAAACACAGGATAGTTGTCATGCTCTGGAGGTTTGCCCGTGCCAACACTTCAACATTTGTAACCTTGTCGCGCCACGAAATGCCTAAGATCTTGCGGCAGCATCTGAGATGGAAAATGTTGAGGCGCTTTTCCTGTCTACTGTACAAAGTCCATGTTTCAGATCCATAAAGGAGTGTGCTGAGGACACATGCTTCGTAAATCTCGATCTTTGTTTTGATGGTTAATCTTTTGTTTTCCCATGCTCGTTTTGTCAGCCTTCCAAAAGTTGTTGCTGCTTTCCCTATCCTGGTGCTGATCTCATAATCAAGTGATGTAGTAGAGCTGATGGTAGACCCCAGGTAACAGAACTTGTCCATTGTCTCAAGCTCCTTGTCGTTATGCTATATATGGCTCTGATCTGAACCTTCTTGGGTAAGGACGACTGTTTTCTTAACACTGATGACCAAGCTAAAGACCGTGCATGCTGTTGATAGGCGGTCTATCATTTGTTTGTAGGGTTGATTCACTGTGAGCAACAAGAGCAGCAGCATCGGCAAAGAGAAGGTCTCGTACTGTTGTTTTGTTGATCTTGGTCTTGGCCTTGAGTCGAGCAATATTGAAGAGCGACCCATCAGTTCTCCAGTGGAGGAAGACTCCTCAGGTGACTGTTTAAATGCGTGTTGCAGTAAGACAGCAAAATAAGTGCTAAAAAGGGTTGGTGCTAAGACACAACCTTGCTTTACTCCGCTAGTGATGTTGAAACTGTTTGATGTTGAATGTGCCTGATCTACAACAGGGAACTGCTGCTTTTTCCTTCCTAATCCTTACTATTGACATTTTCCTCTACTTCATTTGTATGTTTGCCCCACTCTTGTGACCTGCTTTTTCCGGGGTGCCTTGATAGTCGAAGCAGACCTTGTGCTGTTGAAGCTAGAGAGGTGGGCAGAGTAAGTCTGATATCCTGTAAAGACTTCTCTGCTGACACCCACCCCTTGGCGCTCATATGATTTTATGCAGTTGTGAGCGCTGTAAAACCCTCTACTATAAAAAAAAAAAAAAAGAACCGTCAAACTGAATGGTGGCCTTCATATCTTCGTGGAATGAGATGATGAGCTGTAGCAGTATTGGGGGACAGCCAATTTTTCCAAGCACCATGTAGAGTCCTGATCTATTGACTGTATCAAAAGTCTTTGTCAGATCGACGAACGCAGTATGTAATGGCAATTGTTGCTCCCTGCATTTTTCTTGTAGCTGGCGAATAGAAAAGATCATGTCCATTTTTGAGCGGTTTGATCTGAAACCGCATTAGCTCTCTGGTAGGACTCTTTCTGCTAGTTTCTGAAGTCGCCTCAGGATGATCCTAGCGAAAGCTTTTCCAGTGATGCTTAGCAGTGAGATACCTCTGTAGTTGTTGCAATCTCCTTTGTCCCCTTTGTTCTTGTAGAGTGTGGTGATTTTAGCATCTCTCATGTCATGTGGAATTTCTGCTTTCAGCCAACAAGTTGCTAGTAGCTTGTAGAGATATGGGACGAGGGTCTCTTTGTTCTCTTTCAATACTTCAGCAGGTATGTTGTCATTTCCTGCTGCTTTTCTGCAAGCGAGTTCGTCGATTGCAGAGGAGAGTTCTTCTTCTGTTGGTGTTGTATCAAGTTCTGACATTCATTTCGGAGAGCTGAGGAATGGCCTCATGTAGCTGTCTATCAACATGTCGTTCCTCTGAGTATAATTTTGAATAATGTTCCACCCATCTTTCCATTTGTTTCTTCTTGTCTGTCAGCAGTTCACCAGTCGCAGACTTTAGAGGTGCCACTCTGTTTGCTGTCGGTCCAATAGCAACTCTGATGTTTTCATACACTTTCCTGATATTACCTGTATCGCTGGCCTGTTGGATTCCTGAGCATAACCAGTGGCGATGGGTGGACCAAAATTTGGGTGGGGCTTAGGTTGCTTCCAGTTCTTTACCACCAAATAGCAAGCAATAAGAACTAAACAGTGATGATTTTTCTATACTCACGGTGAGCCACGGCAGTTTGAGAACCATTCAAACGAGAAGAGTTGCATTTGTTTTCCATCTCTTTGTTCTTAGTTAAATTCTTGTTGATGGTGGAGACAAAGCCAATTCACCCCCAAGTTCCCTCTAATTAGCTTTCGTATGATGAAAAAGTTGCCTTAAACTTAAAAGTAGTTCGAACTGATGTAAAACTGTTAAATCTCAGCGGCACAAACACAAACATGTATACACAACACTTCAAGCATAATACATTTGTGTACTTCTTTGAGCTGGATTAGGCCGTGTAGTCGAGAAAGTTGAACGCACCCAACAAAGAACCAATGAGCGCATAGGTATCTGTGTCAGTGGGGGAAAGTGTGTCGTAAACTTTCACCCCATTGTCAGGGCTAGGAGAGCGTGAGCCCTCGGTGCAGTGTTATTTTTTCCCAGTCTTCTACCTTTTTACAAGAAGAGTTTCATTAAGGACGGGCTGTGGGAAAAGGGCTCATCTTCTCTGAGCCCTAAAGACATTTGATCGGCTGCTGGGTTACTATAGTTGTAAGCGGTGACAACAGTGATTGGATAAGCGAGCAAGCCGCCAAGTTGATCACTGTGTGTTCATTGCGTACGGTCATAACTAATAACTGTTTCAACTGCTTATTTCATTATGGAGAAACTTTCATTTCTTTGGGATAGAGTTAGGGTGGTGGGTGGGGATGGGAGAGGGCCTCAAGCCCGTGAGCTCTTCACTACCCACCGCCACTAAGCATAACTTGTCCCAGTACCGATTGGCACACTTTCTGGTTTCTCTTTGAAGGTTGGATTTTGCAGCACGTAGTTGTTGCTTTGTACTCTCTGTTGGGTTTGAGTTGTGTTCTATCAGGATTTTCCGCTTTTTCTCGAGTAGTGGTGCGAATGATGATGCACTGGCTTCAATCCAGTCCTCCATGCAAGGTCTTTCTATTCCAAAAGTCATCGACGCAGAATTATAAGTCGTTGATCTCATGCTATTCCACATGTTGTCTGGGGATGAGCTATCTAGATGTTGGAGCTCTTCTTTAACATGTTCTTGAAATTTTGCCTTTAACGCTGGGTCTTTGGTATTTCTTATGTTGATCTTAGGTTTCTTTGGTTTTTCAGATCTTGGTGTTTTCTTTGTGACTATTTTTGCCTTAGCTATACCTAAAAGGTGGTCTGCACTGTAGAAGGATCTTGTTTGCTTTATCATGTTGGCATCTTTCTTTCTGACGATGATGAAGTCGATTTGGTGCCAATGGCCTGATCTTGGATAGCACCAAGAAACCTTATGTCTGTCCTTGCCGCTGTAGAATGTGTTAGTGATGCAAAGGTTGTTATTTGTACAGAATTCTAAGAGTCTCTGTCCATTCTCGTTGATTTTTACCAGCCCAAATGGTCCAAGGCAGGTGGGCCATACTTTGTTTTCGGTACCTACTCTTGCATTGAAGTCGCCCATGAGAAACAGTTGGTCTGTTTTGGGACGTTGTTGATTGCATCCTGAAGTTCCTCATGAAACTGGTCTTTTTTCTCATTTTCTGTTGTCCATGACAGTGACACGCTCGGATATACCTTGGGGGTGCTGAACTTGTTCAGCAATCTGTTGTATACTGCAAAGCCCACACCATGGATTCTCCTCTCATCTTCCCCCAAGACCCTTCCAGAAGAAAGTGTTGTTTCTTTACCTGATGGTACCAGCGTTAGCAAATCTTGTCTCTAGCAGGGCAGTGATGTCTACATTGAGTCGTGTGAGCTCCCTGTCTATGATTGCTGTCTTTCTGACGTCCTGTTTTCTCAAGGTTGGTAGTGTCCAATCCGGTTGTCATTGTTCTAACATTCCAGGTCCCCAATTTCCATGGGGTTAGTTTTATTATTTTTTTGCCTGGTGCTGGATTAACGTCTGCTTTCCGGTTTTTGTCCTAGCTCTATGCACCCATAGAAGCAAACAGACGTGGCGGATTATCACCTTACTGACTGGGGGCAGCCCAGTTTGAGACGGGCGGTAGCTGATAGTCACTCTCATCCTCAAAGGTGACCCGCGGCGACATCCTGTTTCGCCAAATAAGGATGTCTTATAACCCGTAAACTGCCACCTCCCGTGTTTTTCCCTTGCTCGTCTCAACAATGATGAAGTGTCCTCTCCATAATCATATAAATGCTGTTGTAGCTGTGGTTGAGCTGTGGGTCTGATCCGCTGTATTTGCTCTTTTGCAGCGTCCTCCCAGAAATCTTGAAATCTTGACTAAGCTAAATGTCTGGGCCTGACTATATGGAGAACGTGCCTGGCCCAATTTGCACGCGCCCCCTCTCGACTTAGCTGATTTAGTCCAAGGGAGAGACGAGGTCAATACATTTGGAACCAGTAAAGTGGCAGGGGCTGCCAGAAGATAGTTCGAATTGTTCCTCCCTGTCGACTACCTTAGGGGCCCTCCCTCCGGATTTGTTTAGGGTTTACTCCCTTAACCTTTCATACTCCCGTATGCACAACTACAAGGCAGTAGGAACAGCTGCAGGTGGTACCATCTACTGTCATTATGGTAGCAGCACTAAGGCTAACCTGAATAATTACATTAACACAAAAAGACAGAAGCATTTTTCTGCAAAATGACTGTATTGTATTCGAAGTTCTTTCATCATCGTAACAAAAATCAATCAATGTCACAGAATATGTACAGCAGAGTGTTCTCCAACGATGAAAATAATTAATCATGACATTGAGCCTCTGTACCATCTATTCCACAAGGTTAAAGCCACACGTAAATCAAGAGAGGAAACACAGACAACATCCTTCAATCTTTCCCTAACATTGTAATAAATGCAATGACTCACTTTTCCAGTTTCAATTGTGAACATAGTTGTATGACAATCAACAAACTTTTCAGGAAATAGAAATTCCGATTTTTTCTGACACCCTACCAAGTCAGAACCTTTTGACAAACAATATAATAATGACAAGCCTACAAACAGCAACATTTCTGGACAAAAATATGTGATACGATTTATTTCAGGGTCAACAGATGCATTTAAAAAATGTATGAAATTTTAAAAACGTTTCGACACACATTAACTATTACAGATAGTGCCAAAGCCTCACTGCAATTTTTTAAAAAACCTTAGTTCAATTCTTTCTTTTCTTTCATATAAAAAGCATACATTCCGTTCCTATTTCAGATGGGCCAAGAAGTCAGTATAAGGAGACAAATCCAAGTGAGACATACTGGAAAAGCCATTAAAAAAATAATGGCTCTGGAATCAAACCCACACCTCTACATAAAAGAGAGAGAGTATTACCACATTGCCTCACACACCACTTCTATCATACCAGAGACCTGATATAGCATGTCAATAGTACAGTAGTCTCCGCCTTAGATCCCGGTGCTCTGGAGCAAGGAAAATGCGGGATCTAATTTTTAAGCGAACGGAATCTTGGCTGACGAAGGGAAGAATCTACGGTTACCAATGTTCAGGCACACAACAGGTAAAGTGGTCTCCCTTCACTCTAAAATGAACTGACGTGACCCCTGGGTGGGTTTATGACTTACGACTAGCAAAGAATGATCAACCTTGATGACCAATCACAGTGAATTGAGGCAAGACATTTTCACGTATTATCCTATCGTGAGTCTCAATATCTAGTTGTGACCACACCAGGGCCTACTGTAGAACACACCTATTAAACTTCAGTCCATCTTGCAAATTCTAGAGTAGAGACAACTGCAGCAATGGTCGGGGAAAGAGTTCACAGTTCGATGTGATCCCGCCAGGAGTGAACTTGTAGGTCTCACCTTACCCACCCAGCATGTGATGTAAGTTTCAGTGGAGATCCCAGATGCGAGTGCGATGTTTGGAGAAAACAAACGTATCGGCGAGTTCACAGCTCGGTGTGTTCCCATCTCGGGCAAACAATGTACCATTTCAGCATGACTTACAACGCATATGTGATCACATTTACGAGGGTGATTGATCTGTGAAGCAACGGGTAGTTCAATGATCGCAAATTTTCACTCTTGGTTGATCAGCTGTGTCCACCCGCTTTTTTCACGTAAACTTTTACCTGAAATGCGGGACCTTAGCCAAATTTAGACCTTCAGAGTGAATCAGAAAAGGATTTTAAGGGCGACATTTGTATAGTAAAAATTCTGTTTTCTTAAAACAGCGGGACCTTAAGCAAACTGGGATCGTAAGAGGTGGGATCTTAGGCAGACACTACTGTATTTTCAATAAAATTTTCAAACTCCACCTTCAACTTTTTCACCTTACTTATACAGTTACCACATGCCCACACCACACATACAGTTAACCTAACTAAAATAACTACCCAGAAACAAAAAAACAAAAATTAAAAAGGGATATCTGAAGGTGAACTGTAGCATAGAATTTCAAGGCTCTTGCTAAAAGTTTTAAGAACATAAAGAGGATAAGTGGAGGTACTGAAAGATAAATCACAATGAAACTAAAACATTTTGTCATGACTAAATGAAAGCAAGGACTCATTCACATCTGCCTAAGAGTAAAAAAAGAAAGCAAATTGTGAAAATGAGTCCAAACTTTTCTTAGTAACAAAATAAATGTTTTAAATTAAAACAAATTCTCTTTAACCATAGAAATAATTGACACTCACTCATATTTTCAAGAGACAAAAAGGTCTTCACTGCTGCTCTTCCACAACCAAACAACTCACTCTGATTGGTTTTTCTTCAATAAGGCAACAAAAAAACCTCATCAAACTATAATAACATATGTCCATTTCAATCTTTGGTGAAACATTTTACAAAACATTAAGAAACTGATATGACACAATCCACAGATATTTCAACTAAATTTACCAGTCGTGCCAACTTCAAAACTAGTGCACACAATAATCAAAATGAAACATCATCCAAAGCTGACCAACTTGTACTATTTCTTCCTACTTCATTTCTTCAAAACTGTACATACACATACTACGGTGTGAGTTATCAAACACACGTACCCAAATACATGAATGCACATTAAACTCATGTCCAATTCAGAGAATAAATTAAATGCACAATTTGTTTTTAAAAAGACGAATTTTTTTTCATCAATGAGATTCCAAGAGAGCATTCAGGGCTTCTAACTTTAAGTATACCTCAAATATTCAGTTTCAAATCAGACTTTCAAGAAATACCTCAAGACTGTAGTTGCATCATGTGAGGTTCCCGTACAATCAACTACTCAATTCCACCAACAGATACAGGTCAGAGAATGCTCAATCTGGGCTAATTCAGACAAATTACATCAAAGCCTCAGTCATACGAGCCACAGCATTAGTAGGTCCCCATGATCACATGATGTAACCTAACAGTCAAAAATTACTCCAGAATATTTATATTCACCAAGGCTAACTGTTCATGAAGGTACGGATGTCAGAAGGCATCACTGAAATTTTAAAACTAACACTTTCAGTCACTTTCACATGAAAAAGTCACACTTTCTGCATTTCCTAAATCATTCACTCGCACTCACAGATACAACCAGATAGACTGGGACAAATAGAAATCCAGACCTGAGCAAAATTGTAAAAAGGCTCTTACTTTGGATCTCAGCAGCCTCAGAAGAATAGAGGAAATTGTGTACATATGAGGGAACAAATTATGAAAACTTTAGATTTGAGTGTCAAACACAGGGAAACATATTGTCTATGGGATTCACAAACCGGCTACATGCAAAAATTTCAATTTTTTCAATTTTGCTTATGAATAGTAAATAGCCTAATATGTGTCCTCAATAAATATTAGGTTTGAAAAAACCTAAAAGTATGTTTTAATTGAGACTTTCCAAAACGAACACCTGCAGCTGATGAAAAAATAGCATCGCCAAACCAGCCATGTACATAGCTGCTTCGGTTTCAGCAGACCGTCCCGACACGCGTTGACAAGTGTCATCGAAAACCAGCTACATGCTTCCCCGCCGCGCATCACCCCGACCGTTCCATACGTTTGTTTTTTTTCTTTCTTGAACTAAACAGAATTTTAAACTGTTATCAGTGTTCATCAAGATAAATAATATTATAGTCAACAATAATGTGACTTGTAATATAAAGCATTTGTGTGATTCGATTTACTAGATTAGATTTGTCAACTTATTTATGTATCTAGATGAGACCAGAACATGAAAGACCTATACAGAGTACCAGCTACATTATGGGCCCGGACTTTCACAACAAACTCTCTTTTTCTTCTTCTTCTTCCTCTTCTTCGTCTACATTAATTGTTGTATTGTAGCACACTCTAGTGTTAGCTGCAGCAGAGCAGCTGTAATAGCTGTAGTATATCGTCATCATCATCATCATCATCATCATCATCATCATCATCATCATCAGCAGCAGCAGCAGCAGCAGCAGCAGCAGCAGCAGCAGCAGCAGCAGCAGCAGCAGCAGCAGAAGTAGTTCTTGTACTGGCAGTTTGAAGCAACAGCAGAAGTAGTAATACAAAAATAATACTATGAATCTATGAATATTACAGAAAATATTTTAACAATAGTATGCACTTTATTGTTACTATTTCATTGTTGACAATCTGGATGCAATCCTTTTTGTTCTTGGAATTATCTTGCGCTGTGACTATGGGTGTGAACTGATATAACTCACTGGTCTCTTCGCAAAATTAAATGTTTAAGTTGTGGTGTATACTCTACTGTGGCAGACATCATTTTCTTGCGATTCACTTATCATGCATCAAGAAAGTTATCTATTCAAATATCTGGTCTTGGTATTATTATGCCAGAGATATACATAGCAGAGAGTGGCTCCAGGCAATAACCTCCGCAGGTGTCATCTATGATTCACGATTGGTAAAGAAAGGACTAAGAACAAGTCATCGAAAGAAAAAAACCCTCCCGAAATAGAAAATGGCTATCTATGTCAGGTTCACAGAATAGTTCATCCATGTTAATGCTGTTCTTCTATAGTTAATGCTAGTCCTTTTCAAATACCACTTTCTTGACATTTTAGCATGAATCTGGCTGAGGATACATGATGGATGCCTTATCTCGAGGAAGATGCCTGATAAAGCTGAATCTGGTAAAGACATTGGAGAAGACCTCGGACGATGGCAAGCGCACTCCAGCAAATTATCCACGATTCACTTCTATCATGGAGCCACGGTATTGCCCATGGCTATCACCATCGACTCCGCTTCACCTTGGTGTTTTGAACATTTCACTTTCAGAAAGTATCAATGGTCTTCTTAAGAAAGACCCTGAGTTTGAGATTTTTAAAAACACTTATGCCAGAGATTCATACAGCTGTAGACAGCAATCACGTGGGAATTTATGGACATAGAATTGGAAGGCGGCGGAATGCATATTAGGTGTGATGTATGCAGAAGGAATGGATTCTTGTGACAAGATTATGGACAAGTGCGGCAGGGAGGTCGGTAGAACAGGAATGGTAGAAGGAAATGGTAAAACTGATCATTAATGGGGGACTGCCTTCTCGAAAGTAACAGATTGACTAGCACAGCTGGAGATGAAATAAGACCAAAATGTTGGAATAACAAAAGCTAGAATTGCGCAACAATTCCAAAAAGATGCTCTTGTCAGAATAATAGATACCATTGTGACGAATTCAGTTATAAGGAAAGAAGAGGACATTTGTAATTCATTGAAAAAAGATGATGTGAACGGGGGAAGTGCTTTCAGCATCTGAATCAAGACGGTCTGAAGAGACCAAAGGTTAAAAAAATAAAGCGCATTCAGGTATTTTCAACAACATAGCTGACAGTTTACGGAAGAAGAGTTTGCTGACAATTCTTTATGTCAACCATCGGACTTTGGAATATGATGTGTCAGGAACTGGGTGATGAATGAGCAGTCAAAAATGAATGCACGTGTGGCCGATGTGTCCTCAGTGTTGAGGGATTCTTCAACAAGTTATCCCGATTATCATTGCATTACTGTATGCCTCAACTGACTGTACCTTGAGGCCCCTTTCCAAAGTTTTGCTGACGTGTAATGGCTCTACTCTATTCAGAGTATTCATAAATGGAGCAACGCTCCCTCTGGTGAAGCAAATTTTTGACGAGCTCAACTTGGCTTTGTTCTGTCCCTGAGAGTATCATTACGATGTTTACGTGATTATTGCGGCAACATGGATGAACACGCGTGGTTAAAACATTAAAAGTGTGAACAAAGAACACAGAAAGCCAGTCAACAAGGAAATGGCCATCAAAACCTTAAGTGAAGATGACAAACACTCTGGTGTTGAATGGACATGCCAGCTGTTCCTTTGGCACTAGGAATCAATGCGTCTTTTCTGTATTACAAGATTAAAATGGCGTTTCATCATTTCAGATTCTACAACATTGGTAAGAACGATATGATGGGCTTTGTCTGGCAGAGACAGAAGGTGCCTCATAACGAACGAATTTGCAACGACATAATCAACTTTCTGAACGGAATCCTGGCTGCCAAAAGTAACTCTTATGCGGTGATGATTGGACATACCAAAACCGATATATTCGACTTCGGCAAAGCCGTTTCTTTTTTGTGCTAGAAACAGGGTTCAAATTGAACAAAGAATACCAGAAAAGGAGCATCTTACAAATGGAAGTGGGTTTCCGAGCTCAATTGTATCGAGAGGAGGTTGAAGACTCCCCTACCTATGTGTCAGCCCAGTACGTCCATACAACACAGTCATCATGCTCAAACCCCATCCATACCATGGGAAACACCAACGACTTTCAGGATTACAAGAGCATTTCCAACCAACAGGAAAGTCGTGGACTCTGCGGTAACGGACTAGAGGGGTATCCTGATGAGTCAATGAGGTGAGCCCAACCAAATTCTCCCAAGAGGTCAAACCAACCCAAGTGGGAGCTGGTTGACCTACTGCCTGTCTACAATAGCTCCTGGAAAATGAAAAAGGAGAAATACTAACATCTCCAAATGATGTAAGAGGTCATGCCAGTTAACTACCGTCCATTTTACCATGACTCTGTCAACTAACTAGCACCAAACAATGCTGATAGGGAAAGTAGAGACTCGCAACCATTAAATTCAAATGTGATTTTTTTCGTCCATGTAGCTTACACAGTATCATTGTTTATTATAATATAGAAACTCAAGCGTGAGAAATGATGAAAGATAATGTACAGGAAGAAATGACACCCACCTAGATGCAATCAAACGATACTGGTTACTATATTCTTTCAATCATGCCCCAGACAATAAGATGCAAAGTGACCAAATTTGATATGTTATTATAACTCAGCTGAGAATTAAACCCATAGCCTCCCGATCTTGATTAGAACCCTGAGACCAACATGTGTCATAACAAGGCCCTGCCCTTGGGGGATATCAAACAAAAGTGGAGGTTTCTCAGACTAATACTCAAAAAAAAGTCTTGTCCTGGCTTTTTAAACAATTTAATTACGGTCAGTCTTCTTATCAACCATTCTAGTCAAACAATTGATGACCTGGCACATTGGGATATTTCACGAAGTACAGCTAAATTTCCACATGGGCAGATGTATTCTCCCCCCCCCCCCTTCTTCTTGAATAACCTAAGTGTCGATAGGGCGTTGAACCTTAACCATTGCACATGTTCACAGTATTGGCCTTCAGACACCAGGTCGACGACTTCTCCTAGTACTGGTCACATAATGTAAAATACTAGGCGAGAGAGCAACTAGGACGTTACATTTATTAAAATCTGCGTCATGAATCGACTGGTAACAAAGTTTCAACCCACACCTCCCAGTAACCAGGGTCAATTAATTTACTGATAAAGGAAGGACCAGTCAAAGCACTAAACATGTCATTCTATTCTAAAGCATTTTGTGTATGAATCGACCAGGTTAAGATTCGAACCCAGTTTGAACCAGTCAGTTTCATTAAGATAGATCTATTAGTTTATATATTGGGCCTATAACTTGCCGTCGTCTACGTAGATCTCGGCCTATACTTATTATGACCGCGAACAGTGGCACACAGCTGCGCCAAACCGGCTACATGCCGCCTCATATCACGGCTGGGCGGGGAAGCGGCATGCACGAACCGGCCACCTACAGAGAACCGACCACCTGTATTGTGCAGCACATTTTTTGAGATTCTATAACTGGCTACATGCTAAATAAAACTATCGGTTGTAGCATTTATGAAAAATCAAGTAGTATTTGGTCCCAACACTTATAACTTAACCTTTTGTACAAAATATGAAAGATTGTGCAGCGCGTTTCAACAATAATCAGTTTTTTATCCCTCCTGTAAAATTTGCCTTTCTGCATGTAGCCGGTTTGTGAATCTCAACGACGATATGTGAAACAATGGCACAACATATAGTCAAATGTCATAAACATGGATACTAAGGCTGAAATAAGCAAGGAAACTGAATTTTAGTGGTAATAAGGGTTTATCATCTTTTTCATATTATTTTGTTTCAAAAACTTGACGCTTTGTACCCTTTATGTTACACTTAGTAGAGTTGTTACTATACCCACCTTCCTCCGAGAATATTCAAAGAGCTAAATTGACGACACAAACTTATTAAGACCATGTATCCATCTCTATAAAATAAAATGATTATTTGCTTACAGTTTTGGTTATTAAAAAATTACTTCATCTGAAGTCAAATTTGATTTGATCTGGAGCATTTTATGCCAAAGCTTTAATTAAAACAATCGATGCATTCAGTAATTTTCTGCCATTCCATAGAGATCAAGAGAAAGTTTCATTTTTATTTGTTATGGACTATAATAAATTGATTTGCCAACATTGTTAAGGCTGAAAGTATTGTTTCATGCACAATTTTTCTTGAAAAAGATTTTTATAAAAGATTAGAAGTGTTTGTCGTTAATCTTCAGAAAAAATTATCGAAAAACTGATCAAGTTCTACATCAAAATAATTCTTGGAGAAAGAACTCAGAAGCCCATAATGGGCAGCTGTGTTCATGATTCTTTATGGATGACTACTTGTTGTGTGAGTTGGCCCCTTCTTATTTCAGTTTCAGCTTTTGTCCCATTTATTGTAACAATATAAGACAACTTCTTTATCGTTGTGTTTGTGGGGTTTCTCTTGTGTCAAACATTAGCAGGATTGCATGCTGATTAAATTTCTATACATCTATACTCCAAGCAAATAAATAAGTTCTCAATTTAAAATTCAAAACCACTCTAGCTACGTTCTATCAGCAGAAAAGCACCCCACTAATCAAGGCCTCTTTACAGGACCTATTTATAACGTTTGCTACAGTGGCTTCTATACTCTTATAAGACCCTAGGTATACATATCCAACAAGAAATGGCAGGGCACTACATCTAATAAGTTCTGATCAAAGCAATAACAACCAGTTCAACAGCAAAGAAGAACATCCTGGACTTGTGGCTGTTGTTGAAGGGTATCATTTTGGCTTCAAACAGAAATCAAAAGTCCACAACTAACAGCTCCAAAATGTTGGTGTCTCTGTACGGAAGTCCTTAAACGAGACCAAATCCTTCTGTTTGCTGAATAGCCAACAGAAGCTTGTCCTGCAATGTTTCCTTTGTGCTGTACTTGGGCAGGTCGAGCACATTGAAGCATGTGTGAGCCACAGGCAGGAACTTCTCCCCACCACATGTTGGCTGGATGATAATCTGAAGAAAGTCATAGGAGATATTCATGTGTTTTTCAAAGAGTGCTTTCAGCTCATGACCACCTCAATAACAGTCAAGCGGAAATATAAATCATGAAATCATATTACACAAGAAGCATCGCTCATCCTAACTATGTAAAAAGAACAACTCTACTTTGTATAATGAAGCACATAACATTGGAGCATAAAGATATCCTAGCCGTACCCCCACGGACTCTGTACCAGTCCTGGGACCGCCGCGCCGTATGAGTCGGAAGTCAGTGCGTATAGTTCAAAGTGCTATAATTCTTACATTTACTCTAAGGTTTTAAGAAAATTTGGCAGTTATATTAGAAATTGAATGTAGTTTTTTTTTAATGTATGTGGTTAGGAAATACACCAATAGCACAATGTAGATTTTGAGGTGTATTCCACCCTCGAACTTGACCCTGATTGCCGCGCCCACAACGTCCCATTGGATTTTATAGCTAGATCTAGCCCTACCCATCGAGCACAAACTCCAGTACTGACCCCTTCACCATGATCTGAATCGCTATTAGATGAGTCTAAGTCCTGTTTCTTATCATCCACAACGGAAGTTACGGCACTTATTTCAGAGTCACTTTCATCAAATTAGTATCATTCCCCCTCACAACCCAGCGCCACTTCAAAAAGTACTTCGTCGGTCGTGAATGTGCGTTTTCGAGACATCTTTCAAGCTTCTACACCCATCAAAAACAAAGAAACCACTGTTCATTGGAAAATTAAAATATTCAGACAGAGCTAGCATCGCCGTATTTGCGTATTTTGGTAATTACAAGCAGAACTAGCTTCTTTGACGAGACCGTATCGCTGTTCCAGGAATACTCGTAGCCCGAACTGGTCCTCGTTACGAGTATACTCGTAGCCCGGATAAAAAGATTTAACTAACAAGGATAAAAGCTAATCCTAAGACAATAACAAAGTCAAATGAAAATATTAAATCTAAATATAAAAAAATCAACAGGATCTGAGCTTACTTGGACAAAAAGGAAAAAACATTTTATTGCTCCGCGCGGTGAAATGAGAAACATTGCATTATCATATATATAGTAAGAATTTTTTAAGCTACAAAAGTATGAGATATCAAAACTAAGTAAAGAAGGAACACAGTTTTCTCTATGAAATTCATACTGAGCACAAAATGTATCAAAACTTAACTCAGGAAACAAGGAACATAGAGCAGAAGATTGACAATTCCTCACACAACGCAGGTTGAAGAAGATATTTCCCTCTGGGATAATAAAGTATCATCTTCATCAACCTGCATTTTCCATACACACTGGACTACTAAGCCAAACTTGCAATTATCATGATAAAACAATGTAGACCAATACACCACAAATATCATCATTTGGAATGCCTACTATTTTTAAAAATGTAAATATGGATATGAAACAAGAAAGCTGCTATACAAAGATCATCATACCTTGACATACTTCATGCCAAACACAGGAATACGATCACTGCCAGTGAGGAACACTGTAGATGGAAAAAGTTTCAATGAATAAGAGACATATAAACAAGAATATAGCAACAATTTTAGTTTGTCTCGCTAAGCAGTAGCAGTATACATCAGTGATCCTAGACATAAACACAATATTACAGCCAAGAGACAAAGTGGTGAAAAAAAACAGGACTTAAATGTTGATAGCCTGAGCCTCTACACATTGATCAAAATTAATGGGTAGAAACGAGACAAGAAGGAATAGTATAAAAAAAAGACATATATGTTCTCTTATCTTTCTCAGGCAAGCACTGCGGAAACAAAACAGTAGAATGTGTTAGCTTGTTTTTATCCAGTAACCAGATAATAAAAACTCAGAAGTATTCCTCTTTTACACCCACACTTGCACGAAAATAGCCACACTATTTTTAACAACACTAGTGACAATCTGCATTCATTTTGCATAGAACAAACACTTACTGAGGAATTTTTTCTTGTCTTCAAGACTCATCTCATGAAACACCTCCCAGAAGAATTTGATGGTAGGGTGATACCTGTGGTACTCTCCTTTGTAGTCAGTGTTCTGAAAATAAAAATGGGGGATACCACATCAGATGTGACAAGTAATTGAGAAATTCCATGACATACCAGGTACTTCAATATGTCATTGAAGGGGTTTAAAGATGCCATGGGAGGCTTCAATTCCAGATTCACCAACACCTTAATAAATAGGCCTACAATACAGTGGAATCCTGTTATAACGAGAGGGAGGGGACCGGAGCAAAATGTCCGTTATAGCAGGATCCTCGCTATGAGGGATCCTGTAGTAAATTCAAGGGAAAATGTAAAGTAAGCCTAATCTATGAGTTTGGTGTTCTTTTTTTCTTTTTGCTATCTCCCCTGATGATGACTTTGTTTCAACATGACCTCTAGGCTAGGTCTTACTTGATCAAAAATCGAATTAGGTTTGTTTCTCTAGCGCTACATCTATCGATGTGGACTGACAGCTCGGCGTTGGCGATCAGAAAAGAAAGGGCTCTGGGCTAACTCACCCGCTGTGTTTTCCCCCACCCCACCCCACCCTGTGGTGCATTCCGTTTGCTTGCGCACGTCACACATTTGCTCCATCCATCACATTGCTGTGACCTCTCCATCCCCGCATCGGAGAAGTGAGAGGCATGGTAGGCCTTGATAATCTAAACTAGGCTTACGCTGACCTATCACACGATGCGTTCTGCTTGTCTGCGCATGCCACACCCTCCCTACTCAGTTGCTCCGGCCTTCATTGTTGACACACATGGGCTCTCCTATTCTTAGTTTCGCAAGATCACTAACAACTTTCTCAACTGGCGAGGTTTTGCATGATGTATAATTGGCCTATGCGCTGTGCACAGCAGCAGCAATATTCCCTTATAACCGACTCGCATGTTTGTCTGATAGCGCTATAGTAGTATTCTATTTACAAAGGTAAAGAGGAGAAAAAAAACGAGGTTTTAGAATAGTGCCTTTACAAAAGACTTCTCGTTTTTTCCGGACTCGTTATATGTGGACTCCACTGTGATACTTGACGAACTAGAGAATGAACCAAGTTCAAATGCCTGGTTGTGCATATCACCATAAGATTGTCTTTTCTTTTCATTATTATCTGTATTCTAGGTATTGTCATATCTATTATTATTATTATTATTTGTATTATTATTATTGTCATTACTACTTAATCCATTTCATTTATATCAAATGTGATATTATCACTACTATTAATATTATCATACTATCATTATATCTATCATAGTTATATCGTCAATATAATTCTTTTTTACATCATCATTATTCATAATCAGTATAATCATTACTGAGGTAAGAACGATTATATCATTATAGCAGCAGCAGCCATATGAGAAAAGCTGTACCTTTTCTAGCTCAAGGAAGTCATAGTCCTCATTGCCTACAACCATGGCCTGAAGCTCCTGGGGGTGGAACAGCTCCTGCATGAAGATATACAGGACAGGAAAAATCGGTCAACAGAGACTGACAGGCAGACACACAAGCAGGAAGGCATGCGGGCAGACAGATAGACAGCCACATAATTTATATGAAATAAGGTAAGAGAACCTCATTATCTAGAGGGCATTTATTTCAAAGTTTTTTTTACACTAATGTCCCCCCCAAATAGACCCACCTCTGCCTGGTGGGGGGGGATTAGTACTCTTCGAATAGGAGAAAAAAAAAAGAGGAAGCTAACGGGTCAACGGGTGATCCTGAAAAGAGACACATAATACTTTATTTTATATCTTACTCTTCCTATTTATTGTTTTATTGCTTTATTTTATTTCCTTAAATTTAATTATTACAGTAGTCTCCACCTAAGATCCCAGTGCTCGGGAGCAAGGAAAAGCGGGATCTTAGGCGAACCGGGATCTTAACCGATGATCCCAGGGAAGAATCTATGGCGATCCATGTAAGGCTCAGAATCGGTAAAATAATCTCCCTCCACTCTAAAATGACCTGACGTGAACCCTTGGTGGGTTTATGACATATGGCGAGCAAAGAATGGTTAACTTTGATGACCTATCTCAGTGCATAGTGGCATGAGGCATGCCATTTTCACTTATTATCCTATCATGAGTCTTAAAATCTACACTTATCCAGTTGCCCCTCCCCTTTACCTGTCGAAAATTTACAGCTTTCCGTCTCTGATCAAGCCCCCCCCCCCCCCAAACCGCCTGTGTCGTTACACACCATTACATTGTGAACACACCAATTAAAATTCAGTCTGTCTAGCAAATTCGGGAGTAGAGACAACTGCTGCAATGGTCAGAGAAGAGTTCACGGTTCGATGTGATCCCGCCTGGAACGAACGTGTAGGCCCTACCCACCCAGCGAGTGATGTAAGTTTAGGGGGAGAGCTCAGGTGTTAGAGCGATGTGTGGGGAAAACAAACGTGTCGGTCAGTTCACACCCCGGTGTGATCCTGTCTGGGGCACACATTGCACCGTTTCACCCGAGTTTTACAACGTGTATGTGATCACATTCACGATAGTGGCTGATCTTTGACGGGACGGACAGTTTATTGATCTCAACTTTTCACTCTTGGTTGATCGGCTGTACCCGCCCGGGTTTTTGTTCCGCAAATTATGATCTGAAATGCGGGATCTTAGCCGAATGTAGACCTTCAGAGTGAATCAGAGCGGGATCTTAGGGGTGACTTTTGTATAGAAAAAATTATGTTTTCTTAAAACAGCGGGATCTTAAGCGAACCGGGATCGTAAGCGGTGGGATCTTAGGCGGAGACTACTGTATAATCATTATTATCAATTTTCTTTTCTCCTCTCTCCATCGACAACCTTTCTTTGACCTGGAGTTGGGACAGGTATGGGTGGGGTGGGAAGCAGAGGTTCATTGTCAGCACTGTACTGGATGTGACTTTACATAGGGAATACCCAGCTACATATACGTATTAAGCATGCATTTATCGGAGAGCCCTATGACTGCGGAGAAGGTGCAGAGACCATTTGCGTCTTTCTCTCTGATAACATTACCCCTCTGGGACCTGCCATGCCTTCCCCTGCCCCCATCTCTGGCGATGAGAGGACTTGGTTGCTCTGGGGGGGGGGAGGAAAATCCAACTTTCAATAGATATTATTATTATAATATTATTTTGGAGTTTCAACAACACACAGCAACTATGCTCTTAATAGCGTCTTTCTCTTCTTTATCTCCTCAAACAACTTCTCAGTATAATACAACAGACACCAACATACCCATTCATGTTTCTTACGATCTCTCTGTGATGGAGTCTGATTTTTTATTTTGGCATTGCACCTACAGCCTCTGCTTTATTTCCTACCCCAGGATGGAAGGAAAATCACAGAACTACCAGTTTAAGATGCTATTTACACTAATGTCAACCAAATTTCCAGGTATATAAATTAACGTTACCTTTTATTTCCATTCTTTCCTTCTGAATAAATATACAAAAACAAAGTTTATTAATGTCCTTGGAGTAAATTTCCTACACAAAACATCTTACACCTTGAAAAGGCATTCGACAGCCAGAAATGATTAGATTCAAATTCCTTGTTTTGAGCAAATCAGTTTTTGTTCTTAGACTTAAGATTAAAAGCATGATAATGTATGCGATCAAGCAAAATTTGTCAATGAAATCAAAAGTAAAACTGCATTGACATTAACGGACAAGATAGAAAACTTCTGAGAGTCAAGCATGCAGACTAAACCGTGATAAACAATTTCAAGTAAAATGTGCATCCACTTACCAAGACCTCGCCGCCACAAACAGACAAGAATCCTTCGCTGAAGGCTGAGAATTGAGTCTCCACTGATTTGTTCAGAATGTAGTCCACATACAAGTCAACATATTTTTGCCTGTTGGAGACAAAATCATAGTTACAAAACCCATCAAACTCTTCAGCCGGCTTCCATTGTACCTATGAAATAAGTCACCATATTCAAGATATTCAAAATTGTACTTATCTGAACTGAAATTACTCAAAAAATTTCTTTCATTTGATCAGCTATGTCCGTGATGTACATGAGAAGAGAACCTTATTTTAACACATGGAACGACCTACAAATGTGAGGCAGCGTGGTGAAATCAAGCGCTCGTCAAAATAAGGAAACCCGAGAAACCGGCATTTTTCGGCCACTTTGAAATTTTTTTTTAAATACTTGTTTTTTTGCTCAACACCTTGTATGTCCATTCAAAAACACTTCTATGTGTGCATTTTATGAAAAAAAAGTTGATTAAAGGCACAAAAAATTTTAATTTGTAGTTTCCAAGGACTTTTAAGCTATGGAAGTCACCAAACTTTGATGGTCATTTTCTCCCTAATTTTACCTCTGAAACCCCACCTCCTTCATTCGTAAATATCTTGACTTCTACTTCAGAGAAATGTAAATTTTGTTCATTGAAAGCAAGGCAAATACTTGGATTTACTTGGATCCAGAGCTAGAATCATAGCAGGCGGCACATGTCCATAGCTGCTCATCTCTCCTTTCCAGCGTCCACCTCAGGGTCTTCCTGCTAATTGTCTCCACGAGGAGCTGGTTTGAGACACGCCTGACCACTCCTCGGAGCAAACTTTTATTCGCTGTGCCCCGCACACACTTTTCTTTTACTGTGCTGAGTGTGTGGGAGTCTGTCTCCTCTTGGTCGTGAAGGCTCTCCTTGCATCTGGCGATCACCACAGGTGGGTCGAGCATGATTCCGCCATTGGGTGCTGCTTTGCCAGCAAGTTCATCAGCACGCTCATTTCCGTGCACCCCGGCGTAACCAGGGCAGAACACCCATGTAATCCTTAGGAGGTGGCTATTAGCAATGGAAGATCTCCAGTCACTGTAGAGCCACCCACTCCTGATTTTTTTTAGGGTGCTCATCAAATCTGTGACGAACAGGACATGTTTATACGCTTCCATACTGATCCATTCCAGCGCCTCTGTTATTGCCTTGACCTCCATTGCCATGCTCGATGTAGTGCACTCGTATGCTCCAGACTGCTCTTTAATTATCTTCCCATCAACTTGAGCACTGAACGCCCACCCAGATTTCTGGCCACACCTCACTGATCCGTCTGTGAAGACGACAACATCACCCATCACTGAATTTTCCTCAAGGATGGCCACAATTTCCGCATTAGTTGCACTTGCTGGCCACTCGCGACACTCTCGACCTAGCGTAGCAATCACCTTCATGAAGTTGCTTATGTCTTTCTCCGGCCTCATCCAGTCACATCCTCTTCTTATGTCCTCGATTTCACAACACATATCGAGAGTCCGCTCTGCCTGCACCATCCATGAAAATCATCTTTTCAATCTTTGGCGTACTTGGTTTCCTATTTTCAGATGTAGAGGGTGACGTTCGTCTGCTGTTACTCGAAGGTAGGCCTTGACTTGTGCTAGCTTGTGTCGGTGGGTTAACATTGGCAGGTCCAGCAGATATCTCATCGCTGATGCTGCTGTGTCACGGGTGCATCCCAGAACAGTTCTCATTCCTTCATTTTGAATGACTTCGAGGCGATATAGCTGGGTTTTGGATAGGGTGAGCATACCAAGGCCATAGTCCACGACAGACAGTATAACCGCTTGCAGCATGATCATAAGGGCGCGTTGGGGCATAGATGCAGCCATCACTCTCAGTGCAACAAGTCCTTTCCTTGCTCTGGTGATAATGTTTGTCACATGGTCTTTTGCCAAGAGGATGCGGTCAAAGGTAATGCCCAGTTACTTCAATTTCTCTTGCCTTTCCAACTGCGTACCTTGTATATTGACAGTAGGCATGATAGCCTTGACTGCCTTATTGTTGAGACTGGTCAACAGTACCCCTGCCTTCGCTGGATTAAGTTTTCCATTGTTCTGTTCGCACCATTCACCAATTCGATCTAATTCCTCTTGCATGCTCCTTGCAATCAGTTCCCGATCTCTCCCCTGCCTATATACCAATACATCATCTGCAAAGCTTAGCGTACGGCCAGGTCCCTCCAATTGATTGGCTGTAAGACCGATGGTGTATATATTGAACAAGACTGGTGACAGGGCCGATCCCTGGGGCAGTCCTGGGGTTATGATAATAGGTTCAGAAGCCCAGCTGCCAAGGCACAAGGAAACCTTTCTATTTAACAAGGCATTTCCTACCAAGATCACCAATTCAGAGTCGATTTTCATATTGATCATAGTTTGCATGATCAAGCTAAAGGGCACCCGGTTATATGCATCTTTAGATCTATTGCGGAGACTAGTGTCTCTTTTCCCTCCTCAAAACCGTCGCATATGTCGGAGGCCAAAATTGCTGCATTCCTCCAGGTGTCCTTACCAGGGCGGTAGCTGCCAAGTTCCACAGGTATCAGATTGTTGCACTCCAAGAAATTGGACAGCCATCTTGACACCATTTTTTCCATTAGTTTCCCCACCGTGTTTTGCATTGTGATAATCCTGAAGGACTCAATTTTTGTGGGGTCCTTCCCTGGCTTTGGTAGGGGTGTAAGATAACTGTCCAGCCAATCTTGTGGAACCAACCCGTCATGCAAACTAATATCCAGGATGTTTGCGAGACTCTCCAACTTGAGGTCATCCAGATCCTTGATGTGGGAATAACGCACCCCATCTGGGCCTGGTGCTGTGTCAGGTGCCGTCTTAAGTATATTTCGAACAGCCTCCAATGTGACTTTTAACTCTTCCTCTCCTTCCCAGTATCTTCCTTCTATATCCCTTAGAATGCTCGTTCTTTCGTTCTCATTTTTCTCATTTGTTTGCCACAGGTATCTGTTCAAAAGAGCCTGCCCTTTCTCCTCTTCCGATCCAACCCATGTACCAAGGCAAATAAACAACCTTTCAGATGATACCAATAATTCCTTATGTCCAAAAATTGACGAGCGCCTGATTTAACTCATTCACTACGCCGAGCCGTGGGGGGCGGCGCGGCTAGAGTGCCGTCAGTACGCTAAGCCGCCAAAATTTTAACTTGGTTTCTATTCCAATCCACATATCCATGTTAAAATAAAGGTCACAATATAAAGTTGACTTCCGGGTCAAGTGTTTCCACCGAAAATCGGAAGTTTTGATTCAGTTTTGAAACAGGATTTCGAAGTTTATGCGACATTGTTTTATCGCGAAGCCCAAATTATAGCCA